GTCAAGAAATATTCTTTTTTCCCTCAATGTAAAATGTTTTGCATTGTCCCTCAAGACAAAGTTTACCATTCCTGGGCACTGCTTGCATTTTTAGTGACCAGGGGTTCATTGAAAAGATGACACCAAGATAAGGGCTCGTAGTTGGGGAATGGAAGAGGCGGCAGTATGTAGCTGGTTAGCGCACCTGGGGGGCCTGGCAAGCCAGGGTTTCAGTCCCAGCTTACACACTTGTTGGCTGTATTTGTAACCTTTAGTAAGTTACTGACCTCTCTGAGTACCTTCTCTGAGTCTCTCTGAGACTGCTTCAAGGCTAGGAAATCTCTCTTCTCAAAGGGTCAGGGTTAGGAGTAGATGACCTAATGTTTGTAAGGTACTTGGCACAGTTCCTGGCACATAGTGATCCACCAGGGAATGGCAACTATGATTGTTTTTATTATTTGCCAGTACAAGGTTGTAGTCGTTTTCTATTGCTGCTGGAACAAGTTATTACAAGCTTAGTGGGTAAAAACAACAAAATCGTACTTTAGTTCATAGAGTTCTGTGAGGCAGAAGTCTGAATTGGGTCTCATGGACTGAAACCACGAGTGTCAGCAGGGCTACACTCATTCTGGAGGCCCTTGGGGGCCATCCACTCCCTCGCCTTTCCCTCTTTATGGAGGCTGCTTGCGCTCCCTGGCCATGGCCCCCTCCTCCATCTTCTAAGTGGCAGATTGGTGGAGCCTCTCCCATCTCATCACTCTGCCCACCTCTCCAGCCTCTTGTACTTTGAAGGTCTTGTGATTACATCAGACCCCCTGGAAAATCCAGGATTCTCTATCTGAACGTCAGCAGATAAGCTGTCTCAGTTCCTTGGCCATGCAGCAAACATATCCACAGGTTCTGGGGGTTAGGCCGTGGACCCCGGGGGTGGGGACTGTGCCTACAGGCTTCAAAAGGAGGCAAGGTGAGAAGTCACTGCATTGCCCTCTGTGCTCCCTCTCATCTGCATATACCCACAGGGCCACGCCTAAGAGATACTGGGTAGGGGACCTACCACCTGGAAAAGGCTCCTACCACTTCCATCTGCTGGCTGGGGACCTCTGGCTTGGATTAAACTCCTCTCCAGGGCGGGACTGAACCTTGAATGCACTGCTTGGCACCAGCAGCCCTCCCTGCTCCACACAAACCACAAAGCCAAGCAGTGCCTGGGCTCTTAGAGATCTTGTGACACTCCCGGTGAGGAAGGAGGGCTCCTCGGCTTGGCAGGCCACTCAAATGCCAGGATGCATAGTTACATCCTCACACCACAGGGACTCCCAATTCAAGCTGAAACTGGGACATCTCTGAGCACCAAGGCCAGGGCCCCAAATGCAGACAGTGAAGTTTGTACAATGACTGTGAATCCTAACTGAAAGTGAAATCTTAAGACCAGAATTTGGAGGGCAATGAATACCTTGTAACAAGCAGGGAAAACAGTTTATCCTTTCTGCTTGGTTTCCTGGCATGAAGTGTAAGGCTGACATTTTACCACACAGCATGAGATTTTTGCTATTTTTATTACCACCTAAACTAATAATAGCCACTGGAGGTTAATAAGCATTCTAATGGTTTAGAAGAAAGTTACCAAGTAATTCCAAAGTCCTCCTCCTACTCCAATGTGCACAAGCCTAGTTCCTGCCTTTCTTGTGGCATCCATGACATATGACCCGGGGATGCCACTGAAGGGCACAAGGATGGTGGCAGAAATGGCCATGATTCAGAGGGACATGCTTTAGAGGGGTAAAGAAAGGGGGGTTGAGAGTGAATACATTCCCCGAGTTGAGCTTGAAACTTTCAAAGCACTCACCTTCCTGGAGTTCAAGAGCTTTGGATGGGTTCTGAGGGGACAGCACCACACGGAGGAACTGGAGCAAGTTCAGCAAATGGTTTGACTGTCCGTGAGCCTGATCTCTCAAACCCTGCTTGACATATTTCTTCTTCCTTTCAGGCTGCCAGTTCGGAGACCCCCATACCAAAGCTCTCTTTGTTATCTGGGACCTCTGACTTGTAATAAGCAACCTCCATCTGTCCCTTTTGATCTTCCTGTCTCAGCCGGCTGGCTCTAGTTTGCTGGAAGTAGCCACTGATGACTATCAGGTAAAACCTGAAGCCTAGGGGTGGCAACCCTCAAGAGTGACAGGAGATCAAGGGCAGACTTGGCATTTTGAATTTACTATCATCATCTATTATTTCTCAGAAGTCACTGGTGACATACAAGACTCACTAGCTGACATGGTCTCTATCTCCCAGGCTCTGAAGGTAGACATTCCTATCAGTTACTTTTAATAGCCCTGAAGATACCCCAGCCACAGCCAGCTGCAAAGGGCCACAGTCTGTTGGGTAGGTCAGCATCCTTTCGGGCCTGGGCCTGGAATAGCTGTTTCCAGAGCTGCTCTGCTGAGGTTAATGATACTCCTATTCACACGGGGAGGTGTTCTGCTTTATTATGCTTGTCTGCCTTTTGCTGGGGCCTAATCAGGTCTCACCTCTCAGTACTTTTACTAGGCCCTTGGCAGAACTCATGTACTCGGTTGCTGCGTATGAATCCTTGAGGACTGGACTGTCTTTTTAGAAAGAGCGTCCTGGAAAAAACCTCAGCTCTGGTATCTTTTTTTTTTCCAGGTTAAAAGAGAAGAATTCTGGAAAGGTGCTGGGTTCTCTGCCTTTTTTCACTCTTCTAATTATTTAAAGAACACATTTCCAATTATAGGGACAAGGCAGGATTATCTACCCTGCAGTCATCTGCATATTATCTTTTTTTTAAAAAGTGTATCTGCAGACCACCTGTGATATTCTTCCTTGATAGTTCACATTAAATTGTCTCAAGCCTACACTATCCTTACCCTAAGCAATCTTTGCAAAATCATGGGTTTGATGTGCTAGTTTAAGTTTTTAAAAATATTAACTTCAAAATGTAATTGTTAAAAGGAATTATTTCCCCGACTACCATATAAAATTATTTCCTGTACTACTAATGTTACTCTCCCACTTTGGGTAACACTCATCTGAATATAGTTTTTGAAGAAGATTTACATGAAAAACCTTATAGAAGCAAATCTACTGCTATTTCGGCTTAGCCAAAGATGAAGCATTACCATGGTCTGTTGATAATAACTTCAGAGATTAAAGAAATTTAACATAATCCAGAACAGTTGAAAGTATCTTACTGCCTACAGGTTAAAACTTATGAAATAGGGAATTGTATAAGCATTATTAAATTTTTTTTTTTAAATAAAGCCACCTGGATTCTTTCTTTAAAAGTTGGTCAGTTATCTGTTCGGTCTTAAAGATCACATGTGAACATTCCAGTCTGCGGCAAAGCCCAGACCCTGTGGTCCATTTGGTCCCACCATACAGGCTGAATGGCAATGACATAACAAACATTATCCATCTTTCCAGCCCCCACCCAAATCTTCCACCTCCAACTGCAGAAAGAAAGCTCAGCTGTGATCCATAATAATTCCATTAGCCCTGCAATGAAGCATTCAATTAAACTGCCTAGGGCAGATTCTCTGGCTACAAGGGGAAATGTATCTTGTAAGGCCTGCATTTTATTCTAATAAACTTACTAACCAGCTCCATGTTCACAAGAAAACACAAATAAGCAAACTAATTTGGCAAACTGTGAAATCTCCAGAGGGGGGTGTTACAGCAATTGATATTTTCTCCTGGTAATATTTACTTTGAAGATTTTAGTTGTAGAGACTTCTAGCCTTAGAAAGAGCCATTTTCATCTTTCTATAGAGTTTTCAAACCAAGGCTTTTAAACTAATTACAGGAAAAAAGCTGACTGGAGCTGGCACTGGAGTGATAGGCCTTTTGTCATCTCTGGTATAAATCACCACCCTGGATACTGTGAGGGGCTCTAAGAAGGACATTTAGTGGCAGAGCCTGGGCCTGATCCCAAGATTCTGACAACTAATTCAATGCTTTCTGCACTAGCCCAAGCTTCCCAGCCTTCCCTGGGAGAAGATGAAGATTCCTCTTCAGCAAATTCCATTTCTGGGGATAACTTCAGTGTCTGTCTCTTTAGTATGCTGCTCTATTTCTCTGAGGCCAGAGAATGACAAAAGTCACCTAGCTCTCTGTAAAAAGCATGTCCTGCTAAGAGAACAGCAAGAGGCTGCACCCCTGCTACAGATATTTGGCTTTCTGGCACATGAAATTTAGCACCCCAACAAGTACACTGATGTCAAACCCTTCACATCTATAAATTCCATGTTTTCTCTTTACTCCAGATGTGGAAAGAGCTCAGGTATACCAGAAAAATCCTTCACTAGTCAGATCATTAAACAGTACTGAAAGCTAGAAATACAGATATATATAGCTGGAAAGGATCTTGGAAATCATATAGTCCAAATAAGCTGCTCATGGTCTTGGAACCATTTGTGTTAGAGGAAGGACTAGAAACTCGGAGGCAAATAGTCCTCCTTCTTTACAGTAGTGTTTTCTGAAGCTCTTTTTGTCTCTGACAGCGACAGCAATGCAGACCGGCTGAGCCGGTAATGTTAACTCGTTGGCACGTGGTGGTAAGCCTACATCTGTAAAACTTGTCTCTGTTACCTGGCAACAGGGGACTTAGGCGGAAGCCTGCTCAGCCAAGCCAGGAGAGCTCCCTTCTGCGCATCACCAGGGACTCTGTTCCAAGATGCAATACCTAGAAAGCTGGCTAACCGAGGAAGCAAAGCAGATCCCCAGGGCCTGCTGAACTGACGAAGATGCAGTAGCAACAGTCAAAGCAACCACCCAGACTACCCAAGCCTAACTCCTGTGCCCTTGCTGTCAGAAGCACCAGTAACCAAGCAGCAGGACCCAGGAACCCTTCAGCAGCCCCCTCCTACCTGCTGTGCACAGGTTCAAGACCTCCCAACCTCTGGGTGGGATAAAGCAGCACCCATCTGCTCTCAATACCACACCTTCACTTCTCAGGACGCTCTGGAATGACCTCTGCACCTGGCCAGCCCCAGGAAGAGCACACTTACCTGTCAGCATCTCCAAGACCCAGGGAGGTATTTCTTTGAAGGGTCTCCCGCACCACAGCCATCCCATCAGGAAGCCGGTTCAGGCGACGGGTGTAGAGGCCAAGTCCACCATCGGTCATGTACCTTCAAAAGCAAAGGACAGTGCAAATGTATGGTGAAAGCAAGTCGTGCACAGTCTTGTTCATAGCCAGAAGCCCTGCATGGCCATCCTGTGCTCTAAGCAGCAAGAAATTGAGGCTTTTCTGAGGCTCTGTCACTGAGTACAACCCAGGGATAACTCAGCCACGGATTCAACCCAAAGGATCACCAGCTTGCTAGCAAAAATAGAACTCAGCTTAATTAACTCAAACTCACAGGAATCTATGAAGCAGAAGGGGACTGGTGAATAAAATTAGCTGTCAGATGTATTCATGACATTCTTTTTAATGTCAGCAATTATACAAGCAGGTGTTTTACGTAAGTAATGTGAATGGAACTGACAAGTCATTAGCAAATCATGGGGAAATATGTTACTGAACAGTGCAGTGGAGAAAGTAGGCAAGCTTTTAGGAGAGGTGGAAAGAAAAGACAGAAGATAGAGGAGCCACCTTCATCATCATGAGCAAGGTACTTCTCTGGAGCCTGGACTTTTCATTTCAACTGTGGGAGTATCACAGCCTTCCTGCATCACAAAGTGTACATGACAATTCGTGAGATGAGGATGAAAGTGCCCTGCGGTTTGCATGAGACCGTAAAGACGGAGGACGTCATTAGGGTTGTCATCATCGTGATGTGCCTTCAATGGTGAATTTCACCTTTGATACTGATGCCTTAAGGGGCTTGTCATGAAACTCTGAATAACACTAATACCAATTTACTCTCTTCCGGATCTCTTGGTGATGCCACAAAGCTAACATCTGATGAAATCAGTGATTTCAGGGGAAGGAAGGGGCCTATGGAACTTCTCCTGTATAAATGGCTGACTATCCACCAACCAGACCAGCTTGAGAGGTTAGCCACCAGGAGGAGATCATTCAGGTCTAAAGGAGCAATACCTCATCTGCCCTGGCTCCTTCCAGCACCCCCTGAAAGAGACTACTGTGTCACTACCCCCATCTTCAGAGAATAGGAAGGCAGAGCAAAACTTGGACAGACAAGAAACCAAACTCAGATCCATTGAATTCTTTCTTACATGGGCCCCATCAGATAGACCTGCAGGCATCTGAAAACCCAAGGATTTTACACTTCTAGTGAGATAATACGTAGTAAGAAGACCAATTGTTAGAGAAGGCAGTTAGACGTAAGCAGGAGAAAAGGGCCAGCCCATCACCAAGGAAGACTCCTCCCTGGCCAACCCCTAAGCCCTCCTTACTTCCCAGGTCCACAGTCAAGGGTGCCTAGCTTATCAGGAGGCCCCAACAGTCAAGGATACCTAGATTGTCAGGAGGCCCAAGACCACAGGGGCTTCCCTGATTACAGGGCATGAGCAAGGTCTGAAGACCTTGTCTGAAAGTAACCCCACCTCATTAAAACAACATCTAAATCTATAGCACTGTGGTTTTGGCCCCACTGTGGGTTTCACTCAGGTACTTATGGGTAAGGTGCTATGCACTGAGAAAAAGTTATATAACCGAAAGCTGTCAATCAACCTGTCAATGAAATGACATAAGATGCAGGGCAGGACCTCCTGCCACCTTAAGAAAAACTAAAATTGCACATCCAATAACAATGCTGCTTCTAGTTTCCGACAGCCCGCTCTCCACCCTTCTTGAAACTGTACTTATGCTTTGCTTAATAAACTCCTACTGTTTAAAACTGTCATAAGTCTGTCTCTTGATCGAATTCTTTCCTTCAAGAGGAATCGGGGAAACACAACACATTCAGCTGGGAACACAGTGAGTGCTGATTTTCCAGAAACTGCTGACCTATATCAGAGTGTGTTTCACTGCATTTGGCATTTTAGCTTTAGAATCTATGCGATAGATCCTGAGAGATTTTAATTCTTTTCTTTCTTCTACCTCACTTTAGGATATAGTCTTAGAAAAGTGGAATTACAGGACACTGCAGAGGTTGTCCCCCACAGTAAGTTCAAGTTAGGGGCCGAGAAGAAAGTTCTCACTGGAGCCATCCCGGTTGAGAAGGAGCTTCCACTGCGGGTCAACAGGGCGTTCCCTTAGTGCAGCTTCCAGGACACCATGTCTGAACTGAACTTCTCTGATGCCTCCTCCCCACAATTTATGACAGTAATGACCAGAGACACTGCAATGCCAGTCTGCCGGAGTCAGTCAAACCAACTGTTTGTGGTTGTGTCAAGAAAACGACAGCAGAGCAGAAGGAAGTTTTCACTCAACCCGAGCATTTTGAAAACAAAGAACACTGTGACTATACCAAACACCATGGAATTGTACACTTTAAACTGGTGAATTTTATGGTATATGAATTGTATTTCAATAAAAAATTCCACAGAAACAACCAAAAAAATACAGTGATACAGCTATAGTTATATAATTATTTGTATAATGTATAATTCCTTTCCAATGTTTGTCTCCCACACTATCCAGTAAGTCCTTGAAGGCAGAGGTTTTTCTTAGTTTGTTCAAATCTGTATCACATGTACTTAGTACACATTAGGTGCTTCGGAAGTATTGTTTTGTTGAATGAATGACACCTAAAAACACAGCTATGGGGTGGGGTTTAGCAAAAACTTCTCGGGGACTCTAATTACAAGTTTTCCTTCCTCTTGCATGCCAGCAAACTTGACATCTAAGACATATGGCAAGGCAAATGAACCTACTTGCCAGTCTACCCATCTGCCCACCATCTATCCATCCACCCACACATCCAAGAGATGTAGTAACCCATGGTCCACTGGTGGGCTACAGGTACATTTCCTACAACTAGTACAAGGAGGAAAGAAACCATCTACACCAAAATGCAGTAACTCCGGCTAAATTTCCTAGATTAAGTGTCCTTTCAAGGACAATTCGGTGGAAGCTCTTCAAAAACACAGTCTGTTGCCCCATTAGGCAAAGCCAGTTAAGTCTGCCCAGCCATACAGTGAAACAAAAAATTTTCAACTGGGGAGATCTTGTCAAAGGACAAACTAATTTTAGCATTCATTTCCCTGCTGGATTTTCATTGCTGGTGAAACAACAGACATGGTTGGGCAATTACACGCACCCAGCCACGTAGATGAGGCCCACACATATGCTCCCCTGGCTTTCTGTGAAGGCTGGAGAGCAGAGCCTGGTGAGCAACTCCAGAGATGGAATGCTGAGACGTGCTGCAGCCCCCGGCCTGGCTGCGCCTGGGAGCAGTGTGATCGTATTGGGAAAAGACAACTAACAGTGCTAATGTAGAAGGGCTCTGCAGAGATGGGATGGGATGTGCTCACCTGGCTTGTCAATGGCTGCTGGGAACTCTGAATTTTTTTAGGTAGAGAGGAGGGGAAAAGCAAGAATAAATAAGCATCCTCTGCCTTCTCAACCACACTAAGACCTAAAAAGCCAGGGAGCTGAATGCAATTAATCTGTCAATGATTCAGTTTCACTGTATGTGGGGGTGGAGGAGGGAGAAGGAATTGGGGGGGAATGATGAAGAAAATCGGGACTTTACCTCTTTTCTCAGAGCTTTATAAAAAAATGTATTCAATCATATATTTTCTTGTAATGTTCTTCAAAATAAATTCTGTTGTATGTCTTCTCATTAGGAGATAACCAGCACTGGAGAAAGTTCTCACCAAAGCCAGCCTCAGCCTCATACTCTTTCATCTAATTTAAAATATTTCTAAATTTTCCAACAATTTCAATAGTTTGATTTACAAAACACTCCATACATATTTTTAAATAACTCTTCTACTCTTAATGAACATACACATTTTTCCTACCCAAATTTGGATAGGAATTGGCTACTAAACATATTAATACAGACAGCCTTAATCAAATTAATCCCTCAAGAAAGCATAATGTCCAGATGAAGCAGTCACTGGGTCACCAGCCCCTGTCCAGTGGGCTTAAAAAGGCTTGTGGTCCTGAAGGCCTGGGGAAGCAGGGAGGTGATGGCCACACCCCATCTCTGGGACTTTAGGGAGAGTCACCCTGGGTGGATAGGAAAGGACTCACCTGAGGTCACAAAGAAAGGAACCAGCCATCCAGGGACTGACTCCCTGAGCACCAACACCATACACTTTCCTTCTCCTTGGGGAAATAAGTAATTAGTGCTGGAGCCTTAATGAGGTGCTGGTAACATCCTCATGTTTGCTTGGCGGGTCCTGCCTAAGCTGCCAAGCAAGTGAACAATTTCAACATTAACCCTCCCGAGTTCTGCAGTGATGGGTGGAGGGGGCTTGTTTCCTCCACCTTCCACAGACTTACCCAGAGGCCCCTGGAAGGAGAGTTCAGGAGGTTTTGCTAAAGGGGTAAGGTGTCTGTGGGGTGTTTTTCTTGTTTCTCAAAGCTGGCCATCCTGGGGTGGCCCACAAGCATTAGTTAGGAACATAGCTTTACTGTCAGGGAGACCTGGGTTCTAAACATCTCCCTAGCCCCTTGCTAGCTAAGGGACCTGCGTGCGTGATTGTTAGGCATGGATGCTTGCTGGGTACTGTGCTAAGTGCTTCACATAAGTGATGATGTTTCTTCTTGAAAAGACTCTTACAAAATTCTATTTTCCAGATGAGGAAAGCAAAACTGGGGTCAAGGTCACAGTTCAAGTAGATGAATTCAAACCCCAGCTTTGTCACATTTTGGTATAATTTCTTTGAGTTTCAGTTTCCTCCTCTGCAAGATGAATGAAACTACAGATTAACCTCAGAGGTCTTCAGTGAGTTAAATGAGGCAGTATGTATAAAGCCCAGTGCCTGGCATGTCAGAGGCATTTAAAATTTATTAGCTGCCATTGCCAGCAACAGTGGTGATTGCCCATATCGCAGAATAGTAACTACATTTTCTTCTTCCTCTTCAGGCCCACAAATACTGCTATGTACCAGGTTCTGTGCCAGGCCAGGTTACAGAGATGGAAAGACCTAGTTCCTGTCCTGCCCTGGTGGAGCTCAAAACTCACAAGGGACTCAGACCTTGAACAGATAATTCTACTACTATATGAAGGGTGGTATTACAGACGAATGTGTGATAGGCTCTGAGCACACA